GTTCTATAAACAGAGACTAAGGCATGATGTGGATAGATGGCCAAGCAGGTCCAGCCACTCTTCAAAAGAAGAAGTAAATTCTGAGGACTATGGTTCAGACTGTGAAACAGGTAGTAGTGGTTCCTCTGATGCCAGAAATACTGAAAATGAAGAAGAGGAAGAGAACGAGGAAGGAATGGAGGAAGACGAAGAGGAAGAGGAGGAAGTAGAAGATGGAGATGATGAGGAAGAAGAGTATGATCGAGATGAAAGAGATCAGAAGGAAGGAAATGATTATGATACGCGAAGTGAAGCTAGTGATTCTGATTCTGAATCTGCATCCTTTACTGATGGGTCAGTCAAACCTGGTTCATGCTCAGATATATCAGGTAGGAAATATATAAATATATGTTGTCTATAATTACTAATTCAGTAATACTGAAGTAGTTCAAGATAACGTGGGGGTGGGGTGGGGGGTGCCTGGCCCTAAAGTCAGGGTTGTGTAGTCTTGTATCACCATGTCTAGGTCATCTAGAATTACTTCCAGTTTGGAGGATTTAGTTCCAGATTGGTAAATTGTGAGGGAAAAATTAGCATAGTCCCAAGTAGAACAGAGCATTAAATGTTTTCTCAAACATACTATTCCTGAATCAATGAGGTTTATTCAGTCTATTAGCCATATACGTAGTACTCAGCTAACGACTACTCATTCAGCGACTATTTGAAGTTATTACGATGGTGCTGAACAGTGGTACTTATGACGAGTCTTTTTTTCTGCATTTACTAGTTCTTATTTTGTATAAACAATGTGATCGGAATAATCAAACATAAGTGATTTGGTTGTGTTTTTCAGTGTTTAATCTCAGCTATTTCAGTGTTACTTGAATATATCAAGCTTTAATTTCACTTTGGAGGGAAAAGATCTAAATACTCTTCACAGTGGGAAGGTGAAATAAACACCTACCATTCACTCATTTGTTCTGAGTGTTCAATATTTCTGATACAGAATTTGCAGCATTGATAAAGGAATTTTCTATTCCTATGTGATTCTGTTATTCAGGTATTACCATTGGGACTTTTAGACATGCAAATGAGGCAAGTACAGTGAATTGGTATGTGTAGATTGAGACCTAATTTAGGTATGCAACTATGTTTATAAATAAGAATATACATAATTGCATTACTGCTATGACTGAAAAAGTGTTGATATTTCAAATGAAGGTTAATGCTCTTTTTTAAAAACTTTAAGCACTAGCCCTCACATACAAACAAACTCCAGAAGGTTCCCTGAGTTTCAAATACAGCTTTGGCAGGCAATGTTTCTGGTCAGAACAAATTGTCTAAACTTTTTGTGCTTTGGGAACTAATGTCATAGCTCTCTGAATTCTGACCTAATGAGAAAAGGTTATTGAAACAGATTTTATACGTTTTGAGAGTCAACTGTATACCTAAATATTTCAAATCATATTTTCTTGCAAATACTTCTTTTGAACCTTTAAAGAACTGCTATTGTTTATTTTGATGATCTTAGATGAGAAAAAGAAGGCCAGGAAAAGAGCTAGAGGCATCTCTCCAATTGTTTTTGATAGAAGTGGAAGCTCTGCATCAGAGTCATATGCAGGTATTCTGTGGTTGCCTATCTTTGTTGATAATGATGTGTAGCAAACCCTCAAATGCATTGGTAAAAATAATCTGTAGGCCATAATAGGCTTTGGACATGTAACTGAACCAACATAGTTGGTATTTTGGCATGTAATGTGTGAATAATTTGATTAAGTGGGCTTTCTTATGTTAATTCTATTTTGTTGCTTCAATGGAATTTTCACTTTTTAAAACTTGGAAGATGATGATTCATTGACTAGTTTTCTCTATAGAAAACTGGCCCAACAAACCAAACCCAAAAAGAAACAACTAAAAAAAATCAAATTGAAATCCTCATGCTCATTTAGCAGCATTCTTTTTGTGTGGGGTGTGTGTGTGTGTGTGTGTGTGTGTGTGCACATCAGGAGGAATAGTTTGTCATGGATGAAAATAGCATGTGAAAAGATTGTAGAATTTGTATTGTATCTCTAGTAAGGCTAGATCTGAACAAATGTACTTTGGCTAAATACAGGTTCAGAAAAGAAGCATGAGAAATTATCATCTTCTGTTCGTGCTGTCCAAAAAGGTATAATTTAAATTTGAAAATTTTTAATGCATGCATCTATTGCAAGCTGTTGCATTGACTTTGTTAATTTATGGTAAGTAGGATAATGTTCCAATGTACAATGAAATGAATGTTAGTAGATAATTCAAATTATTTGCACTGGGTTTTTAATGGGAAAATATTTCATTACTGCATTAGCAAGCAAACAAGCAATCTAACTGATCTTTTTAAAAAAATATATTTTTATTGTTTACATATAAATATATTGACTACAGTGTAATTGTCCTGGCATTCCACTTCCCATGAAACAAAGGTAAAAACAAATAACAAATATACTATTTTAAACAGTGCTAGTGTTATACAGTCATTTTTGACCATCATATTCTAGAATGTCAACTTATATATCATTGTAGTACCTACATTCTAATCCCTACATAGTATCTCTTTCTATGTCCACCTAACCTGATTCTTTCGTATTCCAACTTCCACCTTGTGTTTCTAACCATTGATAGAATCTATTCCATGTAGCATAGTATTCTGTATCTCCTTTATCTTTTATTTTTAGCGTTAGTCTGTCCATTTCTGCACAGACTAGTATCTTCCTTATTGTCTCCTCCTCTCAAGGGGTGTTTTCACTCTTCCACTGCTGCGCATACACAGTTCTTGCTGTGGTCAAGATGTGTAATATTAGGCAGAGAACCCAGAAGCGTCGCAAAGAGACCGGTTGGGAAATAGCAGAGCTCCGATGGGCTCCGCAAAAACCCAGCCGGACAAAACACTGCCAGGGGATCTTCGGATCGGAACCGTTCTGGAGGAATGGGGAAATAGTACAAACACCTCGAACGACCAAGAGGAACCGGCAGTTCCTTGGCAGGTCGGAGATAAAGCTCTCCCAACTGACAGTGGAGGCGGCGGCCATATTCAAATGACCACTTCAAAGTCAGGGCAACCGGATCAAGGTGTTTGAGCAGGAGCAGTGTTGGAGCAAAGTGTTGGATTTGGGTGAGAGAGTGACCAACCCAAAGGTAAAGAAACTTAAAATTTGGATCTAAAAATAGACCTGGAGCGGAATTAGCGGCTATTTGGCAGATGGGATATTAGTGGAGGAAAAAAGACAAAGCAGAGATTAAAATGGAAAAGCCCCAGAAGATCGTTGTTCCCAAAATTGGAGTTGGAGATACTAAAAAATAAGTAAAGAACTTGGGGGGGGGGGATTCCTTTCTTTCTTTCTTGTCCTTTTTTACATTTTTTGATGATTAAAAGTGGACTTTGACAGCTTTTGACAGCCAGCTGATTAGAATGTACCATGGAGAGAGAGCCATCTTCTGGTGAGAAGAGAATACTATAAGACCTAATATGGGAAAAAAAAAGAGGGTGAAAGGAACAGCTCCAGAGCCTGAGTTTGATTATAACAAAAGATACTTTGAAGATACTTTGAAGCCGTGGGAACCATTAAGAAGTTTCTGTTTCTGCAACAGTGTTTTAGATTTGATCTGCTATAATTGTGGAAGAAAAAAAATTAATGTGGGCTGGACTGGACTAAAATTGGAATTGGACTTTAGAATTTGGAAACAAAAAGGGGAAAAAAAATCCCACGGACTTTTAAGTTCTAATAAAAGTGACATAGTAGAAAAACAATTTTTAGGGGGTTAAATTAGCCAAATAGACATGATGGAACTTTGGATGTATAGTGACCTACTTTAGATGTTAAAAAATGCACGTGAAAGGTTAAATGGTAAAGAAAAATTAGAAACTCAGGAGGAATACTCAGATCAGGGAGGAGGAGAATGTCCAGAGATATCTAGCGTCTGAGGCACCTCTCGTTTGCAGGAGGAGGAGGGCGGCATATACACAAGCCTCTGAGTAACTGGGAAAGAAAGCCATGCGTGGAAACTGCCAAAAACCGCCACCTGAAAAGCACAACTTTCTTTCCCAGTTACTCAACGGCGGTTTAGCAACAGCGGTGGTTCAGCAGCCCCCACGTGTCTTTCTCTCCTCACTGAAGAGAAGAAGCAAGCCGACTGCCGCTCCTTGGGTCACCGGTTAGAGGGAAGGGGAAAAAAATAAAGTGCAGAGAGATACGTTTAGTCCTGCCCTGCTGTGGGGATGGGTAGAGAAAAGCGGATTTGAGATTGATAAAAGCCTTATCCTTTAGGATGATCGAGCCCCCACATATTGCATTTTTGCCCTCCCCGACCCCCAGAAGCACTTTGCAAGCCTCCCAAACTCTCTACATGCCTCAGTTTTCATTGGATTTGGGAGGCCTCCGGGGGGCCGGGGAGGGCAAAAACTTTTTTTTTAAATTTACCTCTTCAAAATCTTGGTGCATCTTATACTCTGAAAAATACGGTAAATTTATATAGTAGTCCTCTTTGATTGTTATACATCTTACTGTTACATAGATTGCTAAGTATTTCACTTTTTTCACTATCTGAATATTCATTTTCTTTATTAATTCATCCCTCTGTTTATTTGTAAGATTTTTAACTATCATTTTAGTTTTTTCCTTATTTATTTTTAGTCCAGTAACCTCTCTGTATTCCTCTAATTTCTCTATGAGTCTCAGGCCTGATTCTAATGGTTCCTCTAAGATGAAAACTAAATAGTCTGCGAATGCTTGTAATTTGTACTTTTCTCTTTTGATTCCTTGATTTGCTCATCTTGCCTGATGTTTCTGGTTATTACTTCCAGTGTTAAGATAAATAACAATGGAGATAATGGGCAGCCTTGCCTTGCACCTTTTTGAATTGAAAAGTTTTCAGTCACCTTCAGTTCACAATCATTTTGGCTTTCTGCTTTGTGTATATTGCCTTGAACGTATTTATAAACGTATCTCCAAAATCCATGTCTTAATTGTTGTAACATGAATTGCCAGTTCACTTTACCAAATGCCTTTTGGGTGTCTAAAAGCAACAGTACCAATTGCTTTTCACTATATGTTTCATAGTATTCCAATGTATCTAATATTGTTCTCATATTATTTCTTATCTGCCTTTTGGGTAGAAAGCCATTTTGATCAGAGTGTATGAACTCCTTCAAAAAACTCAGCCTTTCTGCTACTATTGAGGTGAATATTTTATAGTCGTTTAGTAGGGATATGGGTCTATAGTTTTTAATTTGTGTTACGTCTGAGGCCTCTTTTGGTATCAAAGTGATGTTAAGCTTCCACCCATGATGGTGGTATCTTTGCTTCAGATAGGACTGCATTGTATACCTCTAATAATGGTTGGCCCAGAGTATCTTGTAGCTCTTTATTTATTTCTGCCAGTAGCCTGTCCAGGCCATGTGTTTTTTGTTTTTTTTTAATTGCCTCTGCTAGTTCTGTCATTGTTATCCTCTTGTTCAGCATATATTTCATTGCTTCTGGAACCTTAGTGGGGCTTGTGGGAGGAGGTTTGGAGATAAAAGGAGAGATGCTGCCACGCCCCAGTCGCTGGAGTCAACGTTCCTTNTGGCAGTTAATCTGCGTCTTTTTTTTTCAACATGTTTCTTGCGACTCTGTTGACTATTTGCAACAAAACGTTTGATGGTTCTGTGATCACGCCCCAATATCTTAGCAATTTCAAGAGTGCTGCATCTCTCTGAAACACTTTTTACAATTTTTGACTTTTCAGAGTCAATAAAATCTCTTTTTTGGCCCATTTTGCCTGAGGAAAAGCTGCTTAATAATTATGCACACCTTGATATAGGGCCGTGATGACGAACCTATGGCTCCTGTGGCACACGGAGCCATTTTTTAGGGCTCGTGAGGAGTTGCCCTGTCAGCTCCAGCATGCATGCGCACGCTGGCCAGCTGATTTCTGCCTTCATTTTCGGCCATTTTCGGAAGGTCAGGAATGGACTTCTGTTTTGCACGTTGGGCCGTTTTTCACCCTCCGGAGGCTTCTCCGGAGGGAGAAAAACAGCCCTACGGGCAACCCAGAAGTCTGTTCCCGAAGTTCCGGTTTGCGAGTTGGGCTGTTTTTCGCCCTCCGGAGGGCGGGGGAGGTCATTTTCGCCCTCCCCAGGCTCTTAGAAAGCCTCTGGAGCCTGGGGACAGCGAAAAACAGGTCCACCGTGCCATCACGTAGCAAAAGTGGGGGGACGCCCCCTGCGCTCTCCCCCCGGCTTTTGGCACGTGATGGCAAAACGGTTAGCCATCACTGATATAGGGTGTTGATCTCCTTAGGCCACACCCTCTCTCATTACACAAATACACTTCACCTGATATGCTTATATCCACTAGGCATTCAAGTTTATACAGCTTGGAGGTGGGAAATATGCATAAAAATGATGATATGGTCAACATACTCACTTGCCTAATAATTGTGCACACACACATATTTGGCTTTTAATTTTTAATTTCTTCTCTACTGTGTTTAAAGAGACATTTGTTTTTTAAACTGAATAAATAATACATTGTAGTCTCATCAAATAAGTCTTTAAAGCAAGTGCTTAGAGCTCTTATCTCAAAATAGTAGGCATTGATTTGTGATTGTGTTCTATAAACAGAGACTAAGGCATGATGTGGAGAGATGCCCAAGCAGGTCCAGCCACTCTTCAAAAGAAGAAGTAAATTCTGAGGACTATGGTTCAGACTGTGAAACAGGTAGTAGTGGTTCCTCTGATCCAGGA